TGGTTGATTGAATGAGTTTTAGCTGTTGATAATGAACTGTGAAAAGCAAATTTTATACGGCAAATTTTATGCGGCAACGTAAATTTTATACGGCAATTTTATACGGCATGTGTTTAGGTGCATGAGCTATGCGACAACTTTTGCCATCGATACGTGACGTGTTTGAAAGGCAAAATGCCGATGGACATAGTTGGCGACGAGCGAGCGAGCAGCTCACAACCATCCATATCGCCGAGTCCAACCGCTCCATCAACAAGCCCCTCGATGGGTACCCCTATGAGGTAATCGATCAAGCGATTACCACCGAATGCCGCATGAAATGCTCTACCAAATAATCATAATCAAAATTGCCATTTCGTTACAGTCGCTGAACTGTAACTCTGAGCATTTGTTCATATCTCTATCTGTAAAGTATCACAACTCATAACCTAGCACACACATTTACAGTTCGCAATATCAAGCTCCATACGAACCGCAAAGTGTTCCATTACCGGAAAACACGAATGCAATGAATGCAAGTCACGAGGTAAGTCGCAACTTAAAAATTTCATTCCTTTTGTTACACAATTCCATTGGTGTTCTCTGCATCACTCTTACACCACCTATTCATTCGCTCAAAGCACTAAATTTCTCTTAAAATAGTGCGTAAACTTCGTTGCCTCGAACATACCTAACGAATGAACGCAAAGAATTTCTTACATTCCATCGCATCGTCTTAAGCCAATATTCTATCTGTACACTTCAACTGCACTATAGTTAGTAGCAAAAACTTTACAAACTTGTATGTATCAATCAAAGTCAGCACAGAGTTGTTAGTTGAGTATTTGAATATGCAAAAGTTTCGAGGGGTATTGCTGACAACGAACATCTAAATTAGACATTAATAATTCAATATATAGAAAGATAACTAATTATAAGCAAATATGGCAATTAATTAACTGTAACATATTTCTTCAAGTATTATGTCGTTTTCATTTGCAATTCCATATGATTTGGTCCTCTTTTTTATAATTTAAAGAGTGCTTGAATAAGTTACTGAATAGTCACTGGGACATTATCTTTGCATTCATTAAAGCTAAATTCAGAATTGAATAGGTGAACTGATTTGAGGGACATATTGTGTGTGTCTGATTATCGCATCCCATAGTTTAATGCCGCCATTCTAAGACTCATCAAAAGACTGCAAGACATTGCCTCAAGACTAGTGATGAGAAATGATGAAGTTCGCTGAAGTAAAATTGCAAGCAAATGCCTTTCGATGACCTCTATGCGTTGGTTACGGCTGCTTCTTACAACCGCTATATGATCTCGTTGGTTACTGCACAATGACTTATGACTTACAAGATAAATAAACTGATAGTTAGTTTATCGAGCACTGAACAGAGAATGATAGATAGATTGTTGCAACATTGGCATTTATTGATGGGCATCCAATGAACCTGCTGCAAAAACTTCATTAAATCGCGAAAACAAATTGAGGAAAAAGTGCAAAGGTCTTGTAGGATCTGAAAAGTTGACGATAAACAATGGGAAATTAATGATATGAACTGCTGCTGCTGCATAAATAGATTTGTTATGCAATGTGGTACTGTCCTGAAACACTGATGACGGCTGTTTATTTATGAATATTGTTAGGATGTTGATTTTAATGAATGTGCT